GGCGCACTGCGAGCACAGGTGCGCGCGGTGCTCAGGTTTCGCTTTCGTGCGGCTACCCCCGTGTCAGTTTTATTCTTGGAGAATGAAGGGGAGTTTCATAATGGAAACCTCACAGGGGAGGCCTTTATGATTGCCCCTTCACGGAACGTCCCTTGCCTTCTTTGTAAAATGGTTTCAGATTTAAAATTCGGATTGCCTTTCTTACGTCTGCTCTCGAGTGGGAGGTGCTGGCCAGACTGACCGGTGCTTGCAGCTGGGGAGTGGGGCGGCCAGCGGGGAAGTCAGGTGTTTTGCTTTGGACACGGCGGGATCGATGCTAGAATCACCTGGTGGTACATTTTCCTGCGCCTTAAACTCCTCGGAGGGGCTCCGCCTGTGTGGGGACTTTGGGCAGAGTTGTGGGAGAGCTTTAGTTCTTTCTGAAACAAAACATTTAAACGGATTAATTTATGACAATATAATCAAAAGCTCAGGCTTCTGATGTTTCATTCTGACCCCGGTAATACCCGCTGGTAAAGGAGGGGTTTAGAAACGGGGCCCAGTTCCTCGGCTAGAAACGAAGCGTTCTAGGCCGTGAGCAAGGAGTGGCCTAGCACTTTCTGTGTGAAGAATCAGGACCAGGTGATGGTGACGTGGTTGTAAAGGGAACACAATAGTCTGCTTGCTGAACACTTATAGGACACCTACTGCCTGCCAGGCACCGAGCATAAATCCCTTCACCGCCTGCAGCAGCTCACTGCGGGGAGGTTAGAAATATAACACCAGTGGGCCATGTCAGTGCAGTGTGTTCGGTGCTGAGCTAGAAGGATGCATAGCTCAGAGGGGCACTGAGGAGCAGGAACCTCTGGTGCGCCAGCCTGAGGGCCAGGGGGACAGGAGAGTCCTTGGAGAGGACGACACAGGAGGATGAGTTGCAGGTTAAAAGCACAGCCGGGTTAAATGCCAGACCAAGCTCCCCGCCTGGGATAGAAGCCTCCCAAGGTCTGGTTTCTTCGTTGAAGCCTCAGCTCACCTTCCCCTACGCCCAAATATTCCAGTTTCCTTGTCTCTTTTACTCAAGTGTTTCCCAATGAGTGTTCCCCAAAACCCCTGGAATAGCATTTCTTAAGGAATTTGTTAAAAATGTGGCTTCCAGGCCCCATCCCCAGAAATGTTCATTGGTAGGTCCAGAGAGGAACCCAGAAATGGGCATTGTAACAAGTCCCTCAGGTGATTTTTATTGACTTTGCAGAAACAAAGCTGATTAAAACCAGCCTGGAATGGGAGGTTGGGAGTGGATGGTGGGGGCCTGTGTAGGGGAAGGAATGACCTTTTGTCCTTCATTGAGGTGTCTGCTGCCACAAACCGGGCACAATTAACTTCTTAGATTATCCTACCGCATTCAATAAGAATAAATCATTTTTGCCCTGGCCAGTGTTGCTGAGTGATTCAAGCGTCAGCTTCCCCACTGAAGGGTCACAGATTTAATTCCCAGGCAAGGGTGAGTACCTGGGTTGCAGGTTCAATCCCTGGCCCCATTTGAGAGGCGACCTGTCCATGTGTCTCTCACATTGATGTTTCTCCCCCACCTCCCTCCTTCCCTTCTACTCTCTAAAAATTAATGGAAAAAGTATCCTCCCATGAGAATTAATAAACAAACACAGAATATATCATTCTTTTCTACCATCATTAATGTTGTATTTCCTCTCACTGTCTGGTTGCCCTCTGCCTGGGGGAAGTCAGAAAAGCAGACTTGGGTCAGCCATGGACTGGGCACCACCCTGCCACCAAACACTGAAAGACACAGCGTCTAATTGTATAAAAGACTTCACTCCGGGGCTTAGGGAATTGAAGACGTTGGCCTTTTCAAACACAAATTATTGAATTTGTTGGGCTTGGGCTATATTAACAAATCAATATATTTTTATTGATTTCAGAGAGAGAAGGGAGAGGGTGACAGAGATAGAAACATCAATGAGAGGGAAACATTGATAGGCTGCCTCCTGCACATCTCCTACTGGGGATGGAGCCTGCAACCTGAGCCCCAAACCGGAATCGAACTGGCGACTTCTTGATGTATGGGTCGATGCCCAACCACTGAGCCACACTAGCTGGGCTAAGTTGCCTTTCTCTTGATATTCTTGGCTGGCTGTTGTGTGATTTTAAAAAAAAATACATGCTATAGTTTTTTTGTTGTTTAAATGAAAATTTGATTTAATGGCTAGAAGTGAAATTGGCCGAAGAAAGCTTGGGAGAGAAATGTCTGGATGTGTTTTGTTGGGAAGGTGTTGTATTTGTGATGATGCTGGTAATATCATCCTTGACGGGTCACCTTCAAGGGAAGGTCGGGAAGGGAGACTGCTGTTTATGAGAGAACAAGAGGTGTTGTTTTTAGGGTCCATGGGAGTATTTATTTCTGTCTTATTTGGTTACATTTCATCTTCATGATCTTCAGGGAAGTCCATATGCTCAAGCTGGTTTAGAGGGGAGGGGTTTTTCCATTTTCACTTTTTTGGTGTCTTAGTTTTCAGAGCCGAACTGTACACCACACTAAATGGCTCTTAGCAAGAGCCATTTATTCCAATATCTTTTCTTCTCACGGATATGAGAATAACAGGACTAAAAGAAACACGTCTGATGCTACTGCGGGATAAACTTGATCATTGTTTTCGGTCTGTGTAGAGTAGACCACATAATTAGGTTAAGGAAGTGGAATAAGCATTCTTTGCCCTTCCTCCCTCTTTCTACAATGAGAAAAATAATCAGAGGAAGGTGGCTGATTGAGAAAAAATTCAAAGCAGAAACACAGGATAACTTGTTATTGTCCTACGTGCCACACCAAAGTGTAGGTGGTAACAGGTCATTGGACCAGAGAGGCAAGAATCTGGTTGTGAAAGTCAGGCAGACTTCTGAGCAGGCCCTGGGTCGAGTCACAGCAAACAGGGGAGGGAAGGGCCCCAGGGAATCAGCAGGAGGCGAAGTGCCTCTCAGATAGGGAGGCCAACACCTTCAGGGACCAGGACATCCTGAGCCTAAAGAAGCAAAAGGCCAGATGATCAGATAAGCCTTTCAAACATAAATAATTGAATTTGTTGGGCTTGGGCTAGGCTATTAACAAATTCAAGTTGCCTTTCCCTTTTTTTAAAAAAATTTTTTTTATTGATTTCAGAGAGAGGAAAAAAGAGAGTGAGAGATATAGAAACATCAATGAGTACCAGCGCCCAGGAGGGACTGCCCAGTGGCTTCCTTTGGAAATCCTGGAAGAGGGTGGTTTGAGGTCGGGGAAGGGCGTTGGAAACACCTGGCTCCATGGGCACTGCCCTGGCCGAGAGAACACAGGTTGTGGATGAATTAGCCTAATAACTGCTAATTCCCAAACACTCAGTTTTATGCTTCTAAAACAAGCATGTCAAACTCACGGTCTGCGGGCCACATGGCTCGTTTATTTGGGCCATGTAGCCTTTGAGTTTGACATGCTTGTTCTAAAAAGAACAGCGACCACGTTGAAGACATGGTTGCTGCTGCTTTTGGTTTTAATCAGACGAATAATAATCACCTTTGCTCGATTTTCCTGATTAGAAAGTTCCTTGCCATCCGCCCTCCCCCTCCTGATGCACCTGTTTTAGGAGGCAGTCTTCCTTCTTCCTGCTCTGTCCAGTCTTCTCCAGGTTTGACAACCGCGGTGCTAATCACAGTGTGGACTCAGGACCCCTCAAAACCTGGGCTTCCTCTGTGCCTACGTCCTCTCCCCACCCCTGCAGTCTCCTCACAGCCTTAGCCTCTCAGTCAGATCCCAGCCTCCCCACCCTAGATCTGAACCCAGTTAGTCTCCTCACAGCCTTAGCCTCTCAGTCAGATCCCAGGCTCATGCCTCAGGGCCACAGATCTCCCCGTTTTATCTGCATGAAGCATCTTCCCCTTCCCTTTTATTTCTGTTAAAGTCTCACTCATGCTTCAAAGCCCAGCCCCAACATTCTCTTTCCGGTGAAGCGTGTCTTCCACAGCACATCAGTGGCTCCGCCCACGTCTTCCCGGCTTGTGTTTACGTTGACAGCACCTCGCCCAACATGGGCTGACCTGGCCAGAGTTCCTAGGTGTTCCCAGGTGTAGCGACCAGGCACTGTCTCCTCGCCTGACCGACACCAGCTCATGGAAGCCTCAGAACAACCCTAGGAGGGTCTGTTGGCCCCACTTGGTTGAAGAAACTGGCCCAGAGAGAACCCTGACAAAGGTCACACAGCTGGTCCTCGGCACACCCTAGATCTGAACCTAGTTAGTCTGGTTCCCACCCTTCCTCCTAACCACGAGGCCTGTATATCTGATTATGTTTGTGTCACCATCCTCCAGAGCTTGGCAGTATGATCTGCATGTTGGGGGTCAATGATGGTTCATTGCTCCAAAGTGATCACCATCGAGAGGAGTTAGGGAGCAGGGCAGGGGGCTGAGGGCTGTGGCTGCACCAGGAGGAAGTGATGGGACTTTTCTGAAGCAGGACGGGTGGTCACATGAGCCTGCACAGGCGATAAAGTTGCACAGGACTGAATATATACACATACACACGATGTAAGAATAGTTTCAACTGCATGTGAATCTTCTATTACCTCAAAATAAAATTTTAAAAAAAATGGTGATCCCAGGGTTCTGACCACAAGTTCAGTTCTCCTAGACTTGGATAAATTTAATTCACATAAATGATATTTTTGTACAGTAGCATTACTAACCTTTTGTTGACAGTAATATTAAAACATTTAAATTTAAATTATATCTTATTTCTTTCACAAGGCTGTAGATAGGCAAGCAGAGAAATTTATATCTAATTTGTTTTCAAAATAAAACAAAAGCTATGTCTCCTTTATGATGAGAATGCAAATTTATTAGGAAGTCATTGGAAAATAGCCAATGATTAGAAAAGAAGAAAAGTACAATTTGCCACCAAACGACAATATCAGTTATTAACAGTTTGATGTGTTTCCTCCAGTATGTTTGCCATTACTGTGTTTTGTATGTTCTACATGATTGTAACTATACTCCTTCTGTAATTTTGAGCATTGCTCCCCTCAAATATGCTGTAAAAATATATCCCCCCAAATGTATACACATTGTACAAAATGTACACTGTAACAGCTGATAGCTCAATTTTGAAAATGAAATGTATTTTAATAAGCCCTAGACTTGGAAAAATTTAATTCACATAAATGATATTTTTGTACAGTAGCATTACTAACCTTTTGTTGACAGTAATATTAAAACATTTAGATTTAAATTATATCTTTTTCACAAGGCTGTAGATAGGCAGAGAAATTTATATCTAATTTGTTTTCAAAATAAAACAAAAGCTATGTCTCCTTTATGATGAGAATGCAAATTTATTAGGAAGTCATTGGAAAATAGCCAATGATTAGAAAAGAAGAAAAGTACAATTTGCCACCAAACGACAATATCAGTTATTAACAGTTTGATGTGTTTCCTCCAGTATGTTTGCCATTACTGTGTTTTGTATGTTCTACATGATTGTAACTATACTCCTTCTGTAATTTTGAGCATTGCTCCCCTCAAATATGCTGTAAAAATATATCCCCCCAAATGTATACACATTGTACAAAATGTACACTGTAACAGCTGATAGCTCAATTTTGAAAATGAAATGTATTTTAATAAGCACTGCCTTTATAATTATTCAGAGTATGTGTATACATTTTGGGGGATACCCTGTATTTCAGTCTTCAGAATGTATTGAGTGGCAGTGCCATAATTTATTTTCCACCTGTTAGAAAAAATTAACCAAAAACTCTACATTTTTTCAAAATTAAAAAGCAAATTTGAAAGAATTCTCTCTCTTGTTCTTCTCTTGCACACTCTTTTTAAAAAATCATTTGCCATTGGCAATTGGTCTATGTGATTTTACAGTCTCGGTCATGGCACAGAAATAGGCAGGCAGCCAAGTGGGTAAGGGTCTGGGACACTGTGGTCACAAAGGCCAGCAGGGCAGCTTTGGCGAGAGTAAGAGAACAGGTGTCTTTTGACTGCACCTGTGGCGGTGGCTGGCCGATTTCCTGGTGTTCAGGTCAGGGTCAATGGCTCCCAGGAAGGTGTTCTGCCAGGAGACCTCCGTGTGTGGGAAGAGAGCTCTGTGCTCCCAGGACATGGATGTGTGTCCTCCTGTCCCCCGTGACCCAGGTGCCCTCCAGGTCTGGTGAACAGCGTGGAAGGACGTGTCATGTCATGGTCAGCAAGCTCCTTGGTCCTTTTGAGGCTCCGAACTTTGAGGTCCTCAGACATCAGGGTGACAATTCTAGGTTTTTGAAACTGAAGATGACCTAACTCTGTCTTTAAATGACTCCTCATTCCCGCCCCAAATACAGGCTCATACATGGCCTATAACATAAAACCAGTGCGGCTCACGTAGAGAAAGACCTTTGACACAGCTCAGGAGTGTCATGTCATGGTCAGCAGGCTCCTTGGTCCTTTTGAGGCTTCGAACTTTGAGGTCCTCAGACATCAGGGTGACAATTTTAGGTCTTTGAAATTGAAGATGACCTAACTCTGTCTTTAAATGACTCCTGGTTCCCGCCCTAAATACAGACTCATACATGGCCTATAACATAAAACCAGTTCGGCTCACGTAGAGAAAGACCTTTGACACAGCTCAGGATGCCTCAGAGTGTTTGGAACTCACTGAGCAAGGCTGGGTGGTCTGTCTGTCATTCTTTCTGGTCACAGGAGAAAACAGTCTGGGTGAGGGGATTCTAGGGGACGGAGGAATTAGTGGGATGTAAACCAACAAATGCCCAAGTCCCATAGAACAAGGTAGAGGACTGGGCACCTTGCTATAGCAAAGGAAGTTATGTGGCTTGGAAAATGTGTGGGACTCCTGGATTACTGGCCCTAAAGCCTGAGGGGAACTGTCCACTTTCCCCACCAAAAACTTCCTACCACATGTAGTTTGAAGCTGTCCATTGTGCGATTAGAAGAATTTTTCTAGACAAAAGCACGTAGTGACTTATGATGACTGCAATGTGGTTTTGCAACTTCTTTAGGTCCTAAATATTGACTGCTTGTACGTAAAGGGCGTCCGTCATGCGATTAGAAGAATTTTTCTAGACAAAAGCACGTGGTATGTAGTGACTTACGATGACTGCAATGTGGTTTTGCAACTCCTTTAGGTCCTAAATATTGACTGCTTGTACGTAAAGGGCCATCCATGGAGGATGTGTACAGTGTGGCCCCAATCAAGGGGGTGGGAAGATTGCAAAGTGGATAGGACAGGGCAGAATAGGATGAGTGATGCTCAAAAAATCCTCATATCTCAGTGCTTTGAAGTCATGGGGCGTCGTGGCCCCAATCAAGGGGGGGGAGGGGGACGGAAAGATTGCAAAGTGGATAGGACAGGGCAGAATAGGATGAGTGATGCTCAAAAAATCCTCATATCTCAGTGCTTTGAAGTCATGGGGCGTATTTGGTCACTCATACTATGTGTCCAGCACCGGCCAGTGAGGCACCCTGCTCCATGTACTCAGGGACCCCTGGTGACCATCTGGGTGACCCATCGTCTATAAAGCCCACCCTGTTCCCCAGACCTTCCAGCAGAGCTGAGGGTCTGACAGTGGCCTTAACTTAGAAGTGACCGCCTCCCTTCTGCTCATATTCCCTGGGCCTGAACTAGTCATGTGGCCCCGATGAACTGCCAGTTGCTGGGAAATGGGTGAGGAAGTGGAATATTGGGGAGCATCACTGTCTCTGCCTTAGCCTTCTCTCCTGGTCACCAAATATCTATTTGCTTCCTTCTTCGCAGTGCCTAGAGACAATTGAAAAGTTCTGCTTGGTCAAGGCATCTGGCACCGATGACAGCATCACTGCGTGCTGTGGATAGTCAGGATATCGGGTTAGAATCTGGCTCCTCTTGGTCTGGAAATCTAAGAGATAAGACGGCTTTTCTGCTGCGCAGGCAACTAGCACACAAGGGTAGAACGAGAGCAGGTTAACTGCAGTAAGCACTCACATGTGTGCGGTCAGGAACTAGGTTTCTATACTTGTTTATAGCCTCTTCTCACCAGAAATCGGGGCTTTCCTTCCACCTTCTGCCTTTCCCTGCTGCCTGAGAGGTCTCACAGCTCTAAACATAACCCCTCCCACTGCACAATAAATCTGATTCTTCTAGTTTCTCTAGGAACTTCTACTCATCTGTGTGCATTGCTAGCCACTCTGCCTGCCTGCCTCTCTCCATTGATCCTTCTATGAATGCATTTTATTGTGATGTGCATTAGCACAGTCTCTGCACAGCACAGCGCAGAGGCTGCAGAGAAACACAGATGACGGTCCTTGGCTCTCAGTGGCACTCACCATCTCCTGGAACTAGGTAGGAAAGAGACCATGCAAGAGAACTTGTTGAAATTAATTCGTACTTTGTTCGTTATGTTTTTCCCTGTTCTTAGGCAGGTGATTAAGCCTTCACACATTCCCTCGACTCCGGAATTTTTGCAGAGCGGAAAGCGGCTTGAAATCAAAGACTCTTCCTGCCTTTCTTAAAACACAAAGGACATTAAAGGGCCTGGTGGGAGGAAGGAGGCAAGGAGAGGGTGCCTTTGAAAGGAGCAGGCAGGGAAATTGGCCAGCTGGGAAGAGGTTGGGGCAGGAACCCGGGCGCTGCTTTGGCAACACCCTAAGGAAGAAGGGCCATGCAGTGTCTGGCTTAGTTTGCATGGCCCAGGGGAGCTACCATTCTGCAAGTTTTACCCTTTTTAAGAAGGCTGGGTTTTTTTTCTTCCTCATGTTTCCAGACCTCCTGCTGTGGGAATGCCTTGAGATGCAATGGGGAATAAGTGATGCTCTTACTTGGCTGGCCAGGGGCACATTCTGCTCCATATACTCAGGGATCCCTGGTGACCATCTGGTTGACCCATCGTCTGTAAAGCACACCCCGTTCCCCAGACCTCCCGGCAGGAGAAGTGAGGGCCTTTCAAAGGCTTTAGCTTAGAATTGACCTCATCCCTTCAGCTCATATTTTATGAACCTGAAGTAGTGATATGCCAAGTCTACTGAGGGGACATAGTTTTAATATAGTGCGAAATTCTTGAGAGAGACATGTGATCAAAGCAGTCTGGAAGGACAGGAAAGGAAATGGCCGACCTCGCACTTCAGTTTTCTTTCCTCAGTCAACCCTTTCTTCATGTCTGTGGTACTGTGCTCTTCCCAATCCTCAGCTCAAGCTCTATTTGACCCTTCGCTCTCTGAGCATGCTGTCTCCATTTCATAATTTAAATATTGCTTTCTCTCCAGTACCTGGAGAAATTCATCATGGGTCTATTTTTGTCTCTAGTGTCCTCTAAATCTTATAAACATAGGCAGCAGGGGAATTTATTGGAAAATATATGAGCTCAACGATTCAGGGTGGTGGTGGTGGTGGTGGGGGAAGCTGAAAAGACATATTTGGAAAATGGCTCGGGATCTGGACACCAAGGAGGCCGTTGCTGTGACTCATTTCTTAACTCTTTCTGCATCTCTGAGCTTCTCCTTTAAGACACAAAGTCCTTGAGCAGAAGCATCTGACTGACCTGGTCTTGGAACAGCCTCACAATCCCACCTCTAACAGTAGAGACAGGGTGTTGCTGGCTTCTCGTTCCCACTGAGAGAAGTAGAACCCTGCTCCCACCGAGATCCACAGAGTAAGGGAGTATTCAGAGGTCGAACATATCAACCAGCACGCCCCTCACGTGTCATTACCTGCCAGTGTTTTATCTGGAGATTCAGATCGCGCCTGAGTCTCTGCCTCTTGTTCTGACCTCTCTCTCCTTTTCCAGTTGCACTCAGAGCCTTCCTCTGGGAGGCTCCAAGGTGCTCCGAACGTACATAGGATGAAAACTGGTCACACCGTCCTCCCCTTCTCATCCTCCCCTTTTCTTCAAAAATCACCTGAGATACTGGTTACAAATGCAGAGTCCCTGGATTTGCTCTCCTCCCCCACAGTCCCAATTTTGTGCTTCTGGAGTAGGGCCCAGAAAGCTTAAGTCTTTAGCGGGTAGCTCAGGTGGTTTTGACAATGGCAATGGCTGTTCTCTTTTGAGAAACAGGGTTCTCACCTGTTATGAACTCGTGCCAACTCTTTCTCTATAATCTCTCTCAAATCTTTCCTTCTCTTTCTCCCCCAAACAAATGTCTTTGCTGTTGCCATCTTTCTCCATTACTGGCTTCATTATCTATCCGTCTCACCATCGCGAGGACAGAACGTCTCACGGCGTCTCTGCGGTGGTGACATCAGGGAGGCGGAGGGAAATTGCTTCCTACTTTCTGCTTCCCTTGAGATTTAGCTGCATTTCCAGAAACTGGGTTCGGTGTGGCTGGTCTGGGGGATACTGTGTTAGATGCTTGGAAAGGCACGGGCACTAACCAGCCGGAATGGATGCTGGCTGTACCACTGGCTGGAATCCTCTTTGGGCTTCTGTTCCTGCTCCCAGCAGCTCTTCTCCAAGGCACCTGCCCTTGGTTGTCAGAGTGACCTTCAGGCCCTGCTCCAGGGATGTTCTGCAAAGGGCATGAGCTACTGTGAACATCCATCCCCTCGTTTGGGTACAGTATGGCCACGCCCTTGCCATTTCCTTTAGACATCTTCCTTTTCAAATGTAAGGGTGAGTTCAAAGGTTTGTTTAGTACATGGAGCTATTCACGTAAAATTATTTGGAGAATTCTCTCATCATTCACTTCCTGGCACAAATGCTCGTCACTTCCTCTCTTTCCAGTAACCAAAGGGTTAGAACAAGAAGGCTGCCCGCACCACACTGACAGTTTCTTTTAATATCAAGAGGATCAGACAATTTCTTTTTTGTCTTATACTTTACTAGTATATATTGATATGGTTTTGTGTCTTCTCTCACCTTGAATTTTTTTTTGAGGTTTTAATTTAGAAGTTGAAAAGGGAGGTCTCAATTTCTTTGATTCTTTGACCGGTTGTAGAAAATCACTAGCGGCAGAGACGAGAAAGCACCATTTGTTCTGGGGGCCTCTGCGTCATAGATGGGAGCGCAGCCTACGAGAATGCTAACCACTGAAGAAGTGGGTGCTCTCTGTCCCTGACCCGGCGCAAGGAGAGCCTTGTCCCGAGACACGCGCAGCATCACCCCTCCTTGCTTCTGTGCAGGGAAGCCCTCTGCTCCCTCATCAAACCAGGAAACTAGCCATCCAGCCGGTGGCTCAGTGCAGAAGCTGATAAATTCAGAAACGCACCCCGAGTGCTTCCAGTCTATCTAGTAATTGTGGCACCCATGGGTCGAGGTTCCTACACCCAGATAGGTGAGAAATAGCACCTTTCTCTATGTTCTCTAAGTTATTCTAATTTTGATGCTAAACAACTGTCTCTCTAGGCTACGCACAAGTCCAATGTGTCAGCTTCTCCAAGGTCCTGGGCTGAGAGAGTGGAGACCCCCTGGTTTCCTGTCATCTGTGTGTGTATTGTCACTGAGACAGTGTCCCTATCTGCACCCCCCTCAGCCGGGAGCTCTCCATGTGGAGAAAGGAACCTTCAGCTTCTCGGAGGTCCCCTCACCCGGCCCCTCCTGCCCCCCCCCCGCCCCAGCCCAGGGGCAATGTTTTCTGCTCAGATGAGGCTCCTTCCTGTTGTCGCCTCTTCAGTTCACTCGACCCCTCAAACCTTGTTCTTAGACTGAATTATTCTCAACAAAAATGTTAGTTTACTTTTCCCTGAGAATAGGGAGGATGGGGCCCAAAGAGTGGTGGGGGTGGTGTTTGCATCCCATCCTTCTTATGTAGCAAAGAGAAAATAGGGAAGCCCGGCACTAGAAGACTCAAATGCTACCGTCTGGGCATTTGTTCCGTTCCTATGTCTAAAATTTAATATTCACTCCTCCTTATGAATCGGTGCGTCTATATCTTAGACATGCTGCTGTGCACTGAAGGGATATTGTCCTTGTCGGCACCAGGCAGGGTTCTAGGTTGCATTCAACAAC